GATTTGGAATTTGGGGAATTTGGGATTTGGGAAATTTGGAATTTAGGAGATTTCGAATTTGGGGAATTTGGAATTTAGGAGATTTGGAATTTGGGGAATTTGGAATTTCGGAGATTTGGAATTTCGGGGATTTGGAATTAGGGGGATTTGGAATTGGGGGAATTTGGAATTGGGGCATTTGGAATTTGGGGGATTCGGAATTAGGGGAATATGGAATTGGGGGAATTTGGAATTGGGGGAATTTGGAATTTGGGGAATNAAATTTGGGGGATTTGGAATTAGGGGAATTTGGAATTGGGGGAATTTGGAATTGGGGGAATTTGCAATTTGGGGAATTTAGAATTTGGGGAATTTGGAATTTGGGGAATTTGGAATTGGGAGAATTTGGGAGATTTGGAATTTGGGGAAATTGGTATTTGGGGAATTTGGTATTTGGGTAATTTGGAATTTTAGAAATCTGGAATTGTAAGAATTTGGAAATCTAGGATTTTGGAAATTTAAAAATTTGGAAGTTCTAGAAATTCAGAAGCTTTCAAGCTAAAAATTTAAAATCTTAAAATTTTGACAATGTATAGATCTGAAAACGTGTCACCACGCGTTAAATCACCACGTCACATCCATCAAATCTCCATGCATCACTGCCAATTCCAATGCTTCTCTCTTCCATCCCATCCAACATAAAAATCTCCTACAACCCAACAGTCCCAAATATTTCATTGTTACGTTACAACATCTAAAACCAAATAAAGAACACCAACATAAATCTCAAAAACCTCTGCCAAAACAGTATATCAATCTTCCAAGTGTTACGATCGACTATTCGATCTATCAAACACGATACATCGATCGCGTATTTTTGAATCCGTGCTCAGCCACGTCGTGCGCGATTATATCCGGTTGGTGATTTATCAGGATAGACTAAGCTTTTGTTCTCAGTAGTCGGGTCAATTGGAGCACAAACTCGGCGTTCGAGAAGAAGAGAACACAGAAAGGAGATTGTTTCCAGTTTGTTTGGCATCAGAAACCAAGAGTGGGTCGCGGTATCCGTGGCTACGATAACGAATTGGCCACGATCTTAAACACGTTTCCTCTTCCGTCTCGTTGCTTCCTGTCTCCCTTCCGTCTCATAACCTCATCCTCGTCTTAGCGATTCGTGACGATATAAAAAAAAGGAGGCAAAAAAACGTCGAGTCGAATCGGCCTTCTCTTTCTTCGCGTTATGCAGGACCCCAGCCTTGCTCTTCCAGTTTGTCCTGTTTACCAAGTGGGTCAATCGAGATTGAGAGTAAAACGCGGGAGTATAGAACGCGTCCATTTTCTGTTGGAACAGTTACGCGGTAATTTATTTTCACGGATTCGTGTTTCTTCGCGCTAGTTTCGTGGGATCCGTTTGTTTAACCATTCTATGTACGCTCATTGTTATTTCTTACTTGTTAATATTTATTAGAATTCAAACTTCTTTTATTATATTACTCATTGTATTCTTGGCGGGTTCTAAATTTAGGGAATGTTGAAAGAAAGAGTATACTTTTACCTTTTGGTAAATTATTTTCTTCTCTTGTAATATACAATTTTCTTAAACTATGGAGATCATCTGTAGCCATGATTGTAAAAAAAATCACTATAAAAAAATATGTTATTTGTTCATTTTCACTGTACATACATTCCACATGTGTGTGTATCTTCATATTGTATGTATATTGTGTTTGTATAAATTATATATTGTATAGTATAACTTGTATCTTTATACTGTATATTGCATCTGTGTATGCATACATATGTTTACACTAATGCATCCTGCAACTGTATCCTACATGTGTATCTTTACACTAATGTATCCCATATGTGTATACATATGTCTTTATACCAATGTATCCATACTATATCCTACATATGTAACATATGTGTACACTAACCTATCCTCCAAGTGTATACTATATGAGTGTATCCTACATATGCTTTATACTAATGTATCTACACTGTATCCTACATATGTGTGTATACTTCATATGTCTTTATACTAATGTATCTATACTGTATCCTACATACGTGTGTATATTACATATGTCTTTATACTAATGTATCCACACTGTATCCTACATGTGTCTTTACTCTAACGTATCCTGCAACAGTACCCTACATCCCTATACCCTAAAACCCTATACCCTACATCCCCATACGATCCACATATGCGTCCCTATACCCTACGTCCCCATATCATCCACATACGCATCAACACGCCCCCTTCATAATACCACAGAAGTCAAATAACTACATGTCCAATAACTGATCAATGAAACACAGAAATGGACTGCGAACACGAAACAACCTTAATTTCTTATCTCCGTGAGTGACATGTAAATGATACCCGACGGTAGAGACATGTATCCAGTTATATAGAGTGCGTGGGTCGTCGTCTTTGGTGCGTGAGCGTACAAGTTCAAGAACAATGGCACTTCACGATCTGTATACCGTAGGTATATAGAATTTTACCAGCCGACAGTGGCGGCTGATTGTGGCGGCGGTGGCGGTGGTAGTGGGCAGCTCTCGTACCACTGACCCACAAACACACTTACCTATGTTATACTATGCTGCTATATACACCGTTGTCGCTATACCTTTTAATGCCCGTACACACACGTTTCCGCTTCGTAAAGACGCTTGTGTACGTCGTCCTTGGAAGATTTACTCGCGGACATGATCGTACTCCTGATGACGCTTCGGCGATTTTAGCTGGGACCTTCGGTACCGAAAGTTGTGTCGGTTACGGGACTTTAACTGTATAGAGACGTGTAGTCTTGTATCGATTTCATTGGGGACGAAGTTGGGACTTGGTGATGGAAATTCAGAAGAAAATGTTGGACATTTAGCAATTTGGTGGGTTTGTCATTTGGTCATTTAGAAGTTTGGCAATTTTGCTATTTAGAAATTTGATGACTTGATTACTTGGATATTTGGCAATTTGGTTATTTGGGGGTTTGACATTTGGTCATTTAGAAGTTTGACAATTTTGCTATTTGGAAATTTGGTGATTTGATTACTTGGATATTTGGCAATTTGGTTATTTGGGGGTTTGGCATTTGGTCACTTAGAAGTTTGACAATTTTGCTATTTGGAAGTTTGGTGATTTGGTCATTTGGGCATTGAGCAATTTGGCTATTTGGAGGTCTTATTATTTGGTAATTTAAAAGTTTGACAATTTTGCTATTTGGAAATTTGATGACTTGGTCACTTGGACATTTAGCAATTTGGTTATTTAAAATTTTGTTATTTGATCATTTAGAAGTTTCACAATTTTGCTATTTGAAAATTTTATGACTTGGTCACTTGGACATTTATCAACTTGATTATCTGCAAGACTTCTAATTTTATCATTTTATCAGAAGTTTAATAATTGTACCATTCAGAAATTTGTTTATTTGGTCCTATGACCATGTGAACATTTAACAATTTTGTCACTTAAAAAACTACTAATCTGATCATCTAAAAATTTGATCATTCTGTCACTTGCAAAAAGTCTCAATTTACTTGTGCTCCCTTCATAACCATAAGACACATGTTTTCCCACTTTCATTTAAAACATACAAAAGAAAAATTGAAAATATAAAAATATACAAAAGAATATCATAAATACAGTTCAGAAACAATTCTAGCAAGAATAGTAAGATCAATTCGCCTCAGACACCAGCCATGATGCGTAAGTTGATATTGCAGCAACAAATTCAGTCGACAAAGTAAAAAAAAGGTACGATTCGAAAAAAGTCGAACGAAACGAACAATCGTGACCAATCGTCCAGGTCGGTGCCCAATTCCTCGGTAGCGTAGCTAAGTAGGTATCCTCGAGACTCTCAGCAACTGAACGCGGTTTTTCTAAGCGGCTAAAGTATCATTTTTGCGCTTGGATTTTATATAACGTTCCCTTGTAACCGCCACACGTTGCGCCATGGCTTCGCGTAAAATATGCTCGCTCGCTTTGCTCTCAGCTCCGTATCGACTACCTTACATTTATGAACGAATGCAAAAAATCGCTGCGAAACTCCTGGAAGGTTGTTACTCTGCCGCCATTGTTGTCCACTTAGGTGTTTAGCACGTATGCAAGTGAAAGCACGTCGCTGCGTTTACTTGGATGACAATCGTAGGGTTAAAGTGTAAACTGCATTGTCAAAGACTTGTTATGTTAATTAACGTGTATTGTCATTGTATTAATTAAGGTATATTGTTGTAGTAATTAATGTATATTTTTATTGTAGTAATCAATGCATATTTTTATTGTAGTAATCAATGCATATTTTTATTATAGCAATCAATGTATATTTTTATTGTAGCAATCAATGTATATTTTTATTGTAGTAATAAATGTATATATTTATTGTAGTAATCAATGTATATTTTTATTGTAGTAATCAATGTATATTTTTATTGTAGTAACCAATGTATATTTTTATTGTAATAATCAATGTATATTTTTATTGTAATAATCAATGTATATTTTCATTGTAGTAATCAACATATATACTATAATTATAACTGTACAATAATATATCTGGATCTTCAAGGTTAATGTACACTGTCTACATATTATTAGTAACATTTAATTGCTAATGAGCACTGGTCTCAATTTTTTTAAAAAAAGAAGAAGAAGAAGAAGTGCAAGATCTCTCTTTAAGAGAGAAAAGTGAAAGAAAAAAATTAAGAAAAAAGAGGAGTATGAAAAAGATGAAGAGTAAAGTAAAGAAAAAGAGGAAGAGTAAAAAACAAAAACTATGAAGAGTAAAACAAAAAAAAGGTGAAAGAATATGAAGATGAAAAAGAAGTTGAGTACAATTTTTTATTGTTCAGGTTCTATTAATGCGCATCGTTGGATTTAGGTCGAGGAAGTGACGAGTAGTGCGAGTTTGACACAATTTTCTCTGCTCGTCGGTCGAATGTCAAGGTGTAGGTCTCGTCAATGGTTCTCGCGTGCGTGTCCTATTCACCGGCCCGAAATGCCCGAAATTCTAAGCACGACCGTTAGACTAACGTTTAACTGTATAATCGTGGCGCAACTTGTACGAAAAAACTTGTCTCTGTCTCTCTCTATGTTCCTATCGCCATCTCGCTCTGCCCTTTCCCTGACGTTCTACGAATTAATGAGCTCAACTCCAGACGCGTGTCAGAAATCGTTCCGTGACTCTGTGGAGCCTCTTGTTAACCCCTTCGTGACCGAATTAACTTCTTTTACACTCTTAAACTAACTCTTTTTATTCTACTTAACTATTTGGACTTCTGAATTTATATCATTTCTCATTTTAAATGTAGAGGATTCTAAACCCTTAAATCTTCAAATTTTCGCATTTGAAGTCTTCAATTTTATTGATACTTCCCTAAGTCTGCAAATGCAAAACTTTGTAATTGTAAAGCACACAAAGATGTCACAGTTTGATGAGTTTGATAAAATTGTCACATAATATTCCTTATGTCAATATTAAAGTTTAACAAGTATAACCATTCCGTCAACATTCTTAATACAAAATGGCTGATAGGCAATTAGAACAAATAGTGTTGCAGACTAACTTTCACCGTGCTCAGATCTTAGCGATATCATCGACGTATCATTAAGTATCAATAAAACATCGGTAATCTATCAATAACGGAGCTATAATTTATAGTTCCGAAGACGTTCGCAGAGGAATTCGCTGAATAATCGTATACTTTCTTGTCTCCAGCAGCAAAATAAAATTTTCGTCCTTTTTCATGCGTTTCAGGTAACCGGCAACCGTTCACGAAACATATTAGAAAGATGTTTCATAACAATTGGACTGTTCACCGGCAGAGTCATGGCACGGCACATTCGTGGGTTCGTTGCACCGTCTGTTGTTGCAACATTTTATAATTAGGCCGTAGCTACGCCACCGTTACGTTCTGCGAGTCCCGCGCAAAAATAGACGATATCATTGGGGGACATTCGACACACTGCGCTGCCGTGAATTGGCCAATTGCCGATCTACAACAAATACGAGCATTTTTCTCGCCGCGAACCGAAGCGAAACGACGAGCGAGCGAGCGAAGTCCTTCGCTGGTTCGCAACGTCCCGTACACCGCAAGGACTTATCAAGGACGTTCTACATATTTAGAAATTAAAAAAGGAAAAAAATATGTGCAAAAGTTCAGTCAAATTACCGTTCTCTTCCTTTCTGCGTTGCAGAAGCGTTGCTTTAAATCTTTGTTGAAACATATGCTAAGAATGCAATGGCGGATGGTTACCACCTCGCAACTTAATTGTAAGAAATAAAGAAGGTTGACGTTCTGTTAGGGTTGTTTGTTTGAATTTTGGGTTCATAGGCAGTGATAGATGGGGTTTAACAATAATACTAGTGTAAGTTTAAGATATTTTTTTTATGACACCAGTAGGTGGTTTATGATAGTGGAGGATTCAGTGAGGATTTTGGATATAGAGATTTGGAGGTAAAGGGATGTGCAATATGAGGAGTATGTGAATCTACAGATATAAGATTGTAGTGATACTGTAATGTAGAGATATAGAGCTATAGAGGTATAGGGATTCAAGGATATAGCCATATAAAGATACAAAAATACAGGGATGCAGAAATATAGGGATACTGAA